AAAATCTTCCTATATCTAGCTACCTTTATAAGAATTTATATTTGGTATATTCGCATTTAAGTATTGTGTCGAGACTAGCAGTAAATCAGTAATATGAGATAAATTCAGCCAATTTCATTTAAGGTGATGAAGGACTGGTCGAAGAAGAATTTTCCCACAATCATATGAGTTGAGCTGACGTTTCCATTCAATTTCACAGCAACAGTTGTTCCCATCCAGGCACCAGAGGACTGCAGTTTCTGCATCTCATACTACTGATTTACTGGTAGTATCGAGACAATACTTGAATGCGAAAAATATACTAATATTACCCTGACAACTAACTATCAAAATCATCTTATATCTAGCTACCTTTATAAGAATTTATTTTTTTAATATTCGCATTTAAATATTGTGTCGAGAATAGCAGTAAATCAGTAGTAGGAGATGTAGAAATTGCAGTCCACTTTTGCCTGGATGAGAACAACTGTTGGAAAAGCAAGGCAATGTGAAATTGAATGGAAACGTCAGCTCTACTCATATCATTGTAGGAAAATTTTTCTTCTACCAGTCTTTCATGACCTTTCGCGAAATTGGGTGAATACATCTCATACTACTGATTAGCTGGTAGTCTCGAAGCAATACTTAATGTGAGAAATGAAATGGATTAATGCAAGAATTGGCAGATACTTGCGCTATTTGGAGATGCCTGTCACGACAGGAAAAGCTTCGCCACAATCGAGACACGCGGAGCGGCAACCGACTTTACCGAACACCAGACAATCCTGCTTCGAGTTCGGGTGAAAAGGCATCACAAGTTGCCTCTAATCAACTTTTGCTTCGAAATGTACATTCGAGACATTTCTACTGTTCAGAACCTCACTGAGCGAAGCATACTACTGATGACTACTAAAGTAGCCATTCCAATAGCGTCTCAGCTTCAAAGTTGACCTGCCAAGTAAGTCAAAGTGTGTCCAGTCTTCGAGTTGGCAGGACTCGAATCCGCGCCGTTGTCGTGCAGCGTGCAGTCTTGACTGCCACAGGACAGATGTGAAGTTTGAGAAAGATCAGGCATTTCACATCTCACCTTCCACTATTTGGATAGTCGATGAAGTTTTTACACTCGACTATAATACTTATTTTCGTTTGTAAGTACGCTTCAAATTATATATATATATATATATATAAAGAGTAATTATCTTATTTCGTCTAGGATGAGAAGGAATGGGAGCTGAATTTTCCCACAATCATAAAATTAGGCCGCACGTTTCCATTCAATTTCACAGCTTTTCATTTCAAGCAACCTTCTGTTGCGCAAATCGGCTGCACTACTTATTTGTGTTGTTAAGTAGGCTTCACGTCTAACAGGTGGTAAAATATATGAGATGTTTAGGATAAAGAAGGACTGGAACATGGACTCTCACACAATGACCCTCCAAGCTGGATGAGAAGACCTTTTGGTGTGCAAGGCTTTGTGAAATTTTGTTTAAAGGTGATGACTAATCGTGACGATGTGGAAATTTGTACATCATCTTAAACAAATTAGAGATAATACAATTCATATTCCAGATGTGATGATAGTCGCGAATAGCTTATTAAAAACGAAATCGCTTCAAGCCGAATCAGCCCTCATCGCCAACTTGCCAACTTGGTCAGGCTAGCTCGCATAAGCCGGTTTTAAGGATGGCTGCACTGGATTGTGCTGCAGTTCCGACCTCGACTAGATTCGGCTCAGTGTCGCGAGTGTCATGGCGACATCGAGTATCCAGTCCAAGGCCTCAGGTACCAGATAGTCACAGAGCAGAGGCGACATTCAAGGAAGGCCAGGCCTTAAATCGCCTCACACAAACTAGGTTGACCAATAAAACTACTCACAATGCAAATAAGTAGTGTCTTCGATTGAAATGCCTATTCGATACTGACACAATAAATATGTTGATTGGCCAGATACAAGTTGGCCTTGACCCAGTGTGATCGTGTCTACGTTGCCAGGATATCCATTTTGGGGGTGTTGTCAAGGGCCGGTAAGGCGGAATGGCCGCTGCGATGCAGACCTTAAAAGCGACAAGGTGGAGTGCAATTTAAATGCACATTTGATTGGGGAAAAACTCAAACTTTGGTCTTTAAGCCCCCATCAACATCGCAGTTTGAGAAGATGTTCATTTGAGAATAGCTTATTCTCTCTACTATTACTACTACTACTTACATAGCAAATAAGTAGGTCAACCAGCCGACGTTGAAACAGAAGTCACGTCCAATCCGGCCAGGAGGGCCAGACGGAATTTTGTGGTAACCGGAAGTTTTGTAGAAGATCATGGCCTAACTGAGCTGAGTTCTGAATTACTCGAAAGGGTGGGTGGAGCGGCTACGAGGGAGGACTACCTTGTGCATTCGACTGGTAGATTTCGCGAACAAGACTCGCTTCACCGTACCACCAAAATCATGAATATGTGCTCAGCTTTCTTCCGCCATGAGACTGGCACAAATCTGTCTGGACTGTTAATTTTTAGGGAAATTTGGTCTTCACATGAAGGCAATCTTATTTTGGCTTTCAGTGCTCTAATTCTTTCCAGCCAACTTTTACTTGGAACCCCATCTTGGGACCCCTTGAACCCTATTTCTTTTCCAAACACACATTTACATACGCCTCCTTTTGATTATGCACTATTTCAGATCAGTTCACCTGTAGCATAAGCACCATAAGGGAAAGATGATACTGCATTAGGCGTGGTGAGTAAGCAAATAAGTAGTATTATGTGATATTTATTCACACATTTCCATTGAATTTGGTATAACCTTGCTGTCCCAAAGTTGTTCTTATCCCGACTGGGGTGGATTTCAGTTTCGACCTCGAATCGGTCTTATCAACACCCCGAACGGGACTCGAACCGTGGCAGTGACAAGAAGGTGGGCTTGACACGTCAACCACTCGGCAACATTGCCACGAGTGCCCTTGGGTCACGGTGCTTCTATCTTAAACCAAATAGAATGAATACATCTCATATTACTGATTTACTGGTAGTCTCGAAAGTCTACTTAAATACCAAAAATAAGTAACGTAGTCGATTGTTATAGCCAAAATACGCTTGCTCATCGACAATCCCACCAAAGAATGTGATATGCAAAAAAGCCTGTCCTTCCTTGAAATTCACATCTGCCCTCTGACCCAAGGCCACTCGTGGCAATGTGATCGAGTGGTTAACATGTCAAGTTACCATTCTGCAGTGTCATGGTTCGATTCCCGCTGGGGGTTGTGATAAGACCGATGCAAAGTCGAAACTGAGAACAACTTTTGGGAAAGGAAGGTTATGTGAAATTAAATGAAAACGTCTTCTCAACTCATATCAGTCCTTCATCAGCTTAAACGAAATTGTGTGAATACATCTCATACTACTGATTGACTGGTAGTCTCGAAACAATACTTAAATGCGAATATAACAAAAATAAATTCTTATAAAGGTAACTAGATATGGGATGATTTTGATATTCAGTTGTCAGGGTAATCTTAGTATATTTTTCGCATTTAAGTATTGCTTCGAGAATACCAGTAAGTCAGTAGTATGAGCTGTAGAAACTGCAGTCCTCTGGTGCCTGGATGAGAATAACTGTTGCTGTGAAATTGAATGGAAACGTCAACTCAACTCATATTATTGTGTGAAAATTCTTATTCTACCAGTCGTTCATCACCTTAGACGAAATTGTGTGAATACATCTCATACTACTGATTTAGTGGTAGTCTCGAAACTCTCCTCAAATAAGTAGTATAATGACCCAAAATTGGCCGTCATTGCGGGCAATGGTGGCGCCGATGCGTGGCATGAGGGAGGCGTAAGCTCGGCCAATTGTGCAGAAAATGGAGCATATGATTTGTGGACGACGGCCGGCCTCGTCCGGACCGTGTACGCCGACTCGATGGCCGCGATGATAAGAGTTGAGCTGTCAGGAAGACGTCTTCAAGTCGGTCTCTTGTGTCTTTTCGGGGAAGCCACGAAGAGGGAGCATCTCGCCTCCGTTCCGGCCAGCTCGTCAAGGCCAGAAGCAAAAGTGATGCATGTCCAAGACGACTTGACTTGCGTGCTTAAAAGGTGGTACCTTCGATAGGAAAAAGGGGTGCCCAAGATGACGAGGAGGTGGGCCAGTTGACAAAGCAGCTGAAAGCCAATGTCCATCTGCTCAACATGCAACAGACAAAGCGGTCAGTACCAATACCCAATACACACACACACGCACGCATATGTCTCAGATCATACATCCTGACAGACCGTAGCACATACAATCACACTCTGAAATGCATGCATATTCTCTCTCTC